AGACAGTGAATTGTCTTCATAAGAATTAAGTAATTACGTCGTGAACAGAAAAAATTATATTAGGAGACATTTGTTGATAAAATTTGTGAGGAATATTAAATAAATATTTTTAATAAGCATTCGAAAATAATGAATATAAATATTTAATTATTCATTTACTTATGAAACAAGTCTGAATGTTATTGTATCAAACATGTGGATACCACTTTATACTTATCAGTAATTTTTTGGTTTAAACTCTCATTTGATCTTCAGATTTGTTCATCAATTTCAAGTGGATCATCGTTTTTTTTTTCGGTCTCAATTAAATCCATAAACTTGTAAAATTGAGCCAACTAAGTCCTCTCCGTTAAGTTTTCACAAACGGCGTTAAAATTGACGTGCACACTTAATCTGTTGATGTATATGTCTTATATTACATGAAATTTGTTATTTAATTTGTTATTAAGTATTGTCTAAGTGTTATATGACGTTTTATGTTATATTATTTAATTGTCCAGATTAAGAATTTCTTCGGATTAGGAGATTTTTAATGAAATAGGGTTAGAGGTGCATCGTGACGGGAAAGAGCCCTCCGCCAACAGCGATATTGATGATTGTTGACAATGGTGAGCGATGACGATCACAATGTATTATGCTTCCATCAGTGGCTCTCTTCCAATCCACAATTCACACACTAACCACACACCATCGATGATGTCAGACTCACTATCCTGCAGAATATAAACCAGGGACAATTGAAACCTACTGAAACAGAAACAACAAAAAGGGTAGGAAAAAAAATTAAAATTTTGGGAGAAGGCGTAGCTCTCGGTAGAGAAGCCACGGATCTGGCCGCCGAAGCGGGTGGGAAACTTGGACGCGTCGAAGCGATCGAGGGCAATGATGACACTCTTTCCGGCAAGGACGATAATCATAGCGCCTATGAAATAATATGAAAAATGGCCCTTGTATTAAAACTAAAATGAAAATCAAACAGTACAATATAACAAAGCTATTTTTCTTTCTCTTCTCAACTTGCAGATTACTAAGGTTAAAATCGAACAAATCGAACCACCACAACAAGTAGATTTCACTCACTTCAAGAATTCTTCACTACCAATCGAATGGAAAATCTTCACACAAAAATCGACCACACTCGGAATCCAGAGAATCAAAATTTCGTCCAAAGGTTTGGAACCAGAGCAACAAGATCGTTATCAAACGATCGAGACTGCGAATCAAACGAATCCGAATTCGGTGAACCAAACCCCTCCAAAAGCAGAAATCCGAAGAAGCCGCGACAACAATAAAGGCATAAAGCTTCTTGTAATAACCCTCGACGTCGTTGCCGAACACAGATGCGAAGCGGAGATGAAGAAGACGCGATTGGAGTCCTTCTGGCGTTGTAGGGCAGAGACCTTGGGCACCGCCGTGGTGAAGACGAAGAAGACGCGTTTGGCGGCGGCGGCCCTTCTGTTGGCGGCATTGTTGGGAGTGCGAAGCGGGTCCAAGGGAGAAAAGCAGAGGGTGAGCACGTTTAGGGCTTGCATGATGGCGAAGAACGATGACTGGGTGAGGTTACTGATTTGTCTTCTCTCATGTGTTCTTCTACTGAATTTACAGATGAAATCCCTAATTCCCTTTCTCTAACCCTATTTTATTAAAAAATTTCTAATCCTAAAATATTCTTAACATTTCTATGCAGAAAAAGAATTTCTTCATCTCTTTTGTGAATGCAAGATGTAAAAAATGGCACGTGTGAGCTTGTGTTCTTCGGGTTAGAATGAATCCAATGGTTTGAGTCATTGTTTTGAATTTTCGTGGTATGAAAACTGAGAGGTTGTTTGCAGGAGTTTAAATTTACAATCGATGATATACAACTTTGAATGAATGTTACGTTAAACAATAACAATTAGAATTTAAACACATTCTAAAATATTTTAGTAAACTATAAATAAAAAATATTACATATCAATAAAACAATTATGAAAATAGAAAAAAGATAAACTTTAGTATGGTAACATAAAATGCAAGATTATTTTTTTCTGATAAAAATGTTCTCTATCTGTATATGCTAAAAAATAATTGATGGGGAAGGGCCCCCTGTTCCTGCTGTACGTGTCAATAATTTAAATAATAAGTACGCCATGTTTACTCAATTAATAAATACCATAAATCTTTTAATCAACTTCTCATTTTCTATTTTCATACAGAGTACTTGGTCTTCTAAACTTAAATAATATATATATATATATATATATATAAAAGATAACCAAACCTGTTTTGTTATCTTTTAATAAACAAGAAAGAGGTTAAAATTTAAAAAAATTAATAATTGGAGTGAGTAAAATGGTTTATGAATTTGAAACTAGCAAATATACATTGATATTTATACATTAAAAATAATATTAGTTTATCATTTAAAAAGAAAGTTTTAAGCTCATTTATAAAATTGTTTTATAGAACAAAATCTTACTTTGAAATTCTTAAAATAAACTTTACCAAAAAATGAATGAAATGGATCCGTACAATTAACCATCGCGGACTTGACCGTTCAAAAAAGTTTGACTTTTCCCATTTTTATTTTTTTAATATCACTTAATTCATCAAAATCTAATCTGAATAGAAAAAAAAGTTTCCAGGAAATTTTCTCTGACCATAATGAATTAATCGTGTCAGCCCTTTTTGAATGCGAGTAGTTGTGCTGTTTTTGACAATTATTTGTATTTGAATAATTTTACTGGTTCAATGTTCATGCCTCTATTATCGTTTTTTTCCCTATCTGCTATTTACAAATAATGGTAACACACAATCTTGCAGGTATTTTTCTTTTCTGATTGTTGTTCAACTTTAACGCATCAAACTACCTTAGATTCAGCTGGAGACTCCTTCACAGGAAATTATTACATGATATTGGCCCATCAAGTAATTTACAATGTCTTTCAATACACAGACATTAATTATTTTTTCACCATTAAAATCAGTATTTAAAGTTCATTTAATATATATGTTTCATTTTATAATAAAAAATTACTTTTTCTGAAATTATTATTGATAATATGTATTCAAAATATTATTAGATTCAAATATAAAAGTATTTTAAAATAATAGCATCAATAGAATTTACAAAATTGAAGTTGGTTTGGATTTAAGTTCAAAAATATTAATTTATTTTTATATTTGGTTTAGAAAATAGAGAATAGGTTCCACTAATATGTTTTAGTTTGAATTTGAGTGAAAAAAAATACAAAAACAGAAAAAAAAAAGTTTGACAAATGAAATTATTTCAATTATAAGAGAGTAAAAAGTTTGAATATTTAAAAGTGATTGTGATTGATTTAAAATAAAAAAAAGAAAAAAAGATAGTTGAATCATTTATTCAATTATCACAACATATATTACGTGGCACGACATGAAATTAATAAAACACAACATTACCACATGTTTATAGTAAATGAGATGCAACACGAGAAAAATAATGAATTAAATGATTGATTATTACATCATCATTTACTATGTACACCAGTTGCGTTTGGTTTATGCTTGATCTATTATAATTCAAAATAATTGATTATCCTATACATATGACTAAGTAGTTATTTCTTCTTTACTCACACTAATGATAAACACCATGGAAAAGTTACGATGAGAAGAAACTTGATTATTTAGTAATAGCTATAGTCACAGGTGAATTTAGAAGCTTTTCACAAGCAAATTAGAAATTAGTCAGATCAGATGGATAATTTCTACTCGCTATAAGGTTACAACAAAAAAAAATTTATCCTGCTTTATTATTTATAGGATACCTGTTAAAATAATATTGAAGATATTTTAAAATCTGAAAGTATTTGTAGATATCAAAAAATTATAAATTTTTTAAATGAAATCTAAATAAAATTATAAAATAATATTAAATATAATATAAATTAAAATTTAATTTTTTCATAATGAATAGTTGTGAATATAAATAATATGATATCACATTCCATCTGTTTATAATAATAAGTATTAAAATATCTATTATCTACTAATACCAACTATTTATCATAAATTCTATTCATAAATGAACATAAATATTTTTATCATCTCTATTATTTAAAGTTGATAGTTATAAAAGAAAAATTATATTTTTACATCTTCACACAACTTAACGTGTGAGATACAATTCTTTAATAATAAAAATGTATGACAATGGATTCTCAGTAAAAGAATATATAAGTCACATGTAAATTAATTCTTCTAAACATTTTAAACATAATACGAAGCCAATTGACTTTCTTCTCAAATCTAAGTTATTGAGACAAAAGAGTTACTGGTTGATGTAACTTGCCTTTTATTTCAGCTTCAATCTTGACGATCGTGAAGTTCATCTCTTCTCATTCTTCTTACATATTACATCACCCAATACAATAAAACTAAAGTATATTTAACTTTTCCAATGTAAAATAAAATTATTAATAATATTAAACTATGCATTATTAAACTTTCATTAGAATTTGCTCTAATGAAAGTTGTTAATGAATTTGATTAAAGTGAAATTAGTTAAATGTTGAAAAGATATGAATTGTTTGATGGATGTTAGAAGTTGGAAGAAGAAGAAGAAGGTTGAGAGATGTAATGAGGAATTAAAAAAAAGAGAGCCACATGGGCATGGGTGGCATGACGAAGTCTGAGATATGGACCCTCCCTTCACATGGGCATGTCTCCTTTGCCTTTCCTTAAAGCCAACGCTCCTCATTTATCTCCCAAACCGCATCTTGACCCTCCCCAAAACTCTCTTCCCTTATGGGACACTCACCCTGTCCCACCCTTGTCCTCCATTTGTGGGGACATCTTGCTTTAAACTTGCTGCTCCTGCTACCGACACCTTACCCTCTCTTTCTCCATAATTTATTTCCTTTTTTATTTTTTTATTTCTCCTCTCACAACTCATTCATATCATTCCCCATACCATACACAACACCACCACCTCTTTATCTTCCCATGTCCCTATAAAACATACCTTCCTACACTTGCATCACATCTCAAGTCTTATCATCATCATCATCATCATCATCATCTCACAAGCTACGTACAGAGAGAAGAACAGACCGACCAACAAATTAACAGGCACTTCCTTGTATTTTGGGTAATAGACTCTGCTAGGAACAGATGGAAAGCACTGTCACGTATGAGACTGATCTCAACCTCAAGGCAACTGAGCTTAGATTGGGGCTCCCAGGAACAGAAGAAACTCAGGAAAAAACACTGCCTCCGTCTGCTAGAACTACCAACAAAAGGCCATTGACTGAAACTTCTGAGGAGACTGTTTCTAATGCTCAAAAAAATGTGGAAGCTGAGGCAGCCCCTCCAGCCAAGTAAGTTTCATTATTATTATCATTACTAATTAAAACTCAAAGGCCTTTTTTGTGTCGATGAGTGACTGATTGAAGGTGTTGACATGTATGACAGGGCAAAGATAGTGGGGTGGCCACCAATCAGATCCTATAGGAAAAACAGCCTTCACGAGAACGAGGGTGCTGGGATTTATGTGAAAGTAAGCATGGATGGAGCTCCTTACCTGAGGAAGATTGACCTGAAGGTGTATGGAGGCTACACACAACTTCTCAAAGCTCTAGAAAACATGTTCAAGTTGACCATAGGTGAGAAGAGTTTTAGTTTTGTCTGTTTTTATTGAGATGAGATGATATTGTGGAAATGACCTGGGTCTTGTTATGGGTTTTCAGGTGAGTACTCTGAAAATGAAGGTTACAAGGGATCTGACTATGCACCAACTTATGAAGACAAGGACGGTGACTGGATGTTAGTTGGAGATGTTCCATGGGAGTAAGTGTTACATCTCTGATATGCTTTTGTCTGTCTCATCGTTAGGTTTGTACGAGTTGAACTAAATCTGACAGAACCGTACTTTTGTGCAGCATGTTTGTGACTTCTTGCAAAAGGCTGAGGATCATGAAAGGATCAGAGGCTCGGGGTTTGGGTTGTGGTGTATGAGAAAGAAAGGCTCTCAAATTAGCATGAAAAAGTGTTTTGGGGTTTGGGAAACCATGGTTTGAGCTTGGGTTATCGGATCTAAAGGGTTCTGACTTTTGAATCACTCTAGTGTATGCAGTTTGTTGGCTGGCATACCTAATATGGAGTTATAACTCTGAAGGAGGAGATGGAAGATACAGTGAAGTTTCTTCCTCAAGTTTGGCAACTTTTATGGTGGGATATGCTATGCTATTCCGTGTTCTTCTTTCCACTGATCCTTTTTCAAGTTTCAGAATGACAAATCTCATAGAGATTTCAAATGAAACTTTGTGTAGAAGAAAGATAGAAAAGTTTATATGTAATATTAATTGTTTACTCCATGTTTTTTCTCTTTTATCTTGATACAAGAATACAGTGTAATATACAGTTTTCGTATGTGCCTGTGTTATTCATTGGAGCTCTTCATTATTAATATTCCTCTTTCTATCTCCTTTTAAGCTCTCATTTACAGTTGTTTGCTTTAATTTGGAACTCAAAACCCAGATACAATCGTATTACGATTCAATATCAAATGGTTAAGGCCTTAATTTCACCGTTTTATCTAAATTAAATTTCAGAATAAATAAAATAAAACAAGCTAAATTCTTTATACTATATCTTTTTTTATAATCATCTCCTTTCTTATAGCTTATTTCTTTTTCTATGTCCTTCTTACGAAATGTTGCATAAAATTATTGTACACTGTTTATCGTTTTCCAAGGCTATATGCGGATGCTGTATTGTTGAAGGAAAAAAATGTTAGACCTCTCTAAATCTAAATCTTTTTAGACCCTTCCAACACCAATTAAAAAATGATATTTTTCTACTTTTGTCGTTGTTTGAACTTAAATCATTTCATATTTTAACATAAAAGTATTATTGTTGGTGAAAATGGATTGTTTGGGTATCACCACTCCATTGTTGGCCGGAGTAGCTTCCCTCCATCTTTTTCATTTATTAAAAGAAAAATCAACACCAGAATGGTGAGTAAAATGCATTAGAATTAAAAGAGTAATATTATTAAAATATTCATTCCATTATTTAAATAATTTATAATACATAAAAGGATTGTTTCATCCGATGCTCTAGAAATGGAGGAAACAAGAAGGGATATGTAACGAAATAGAATACATTTAATCATACACACACACGTGTATATATATATATATATATATATATATATATATATATATATATATATATATATATAGTTATTTTTAAATTTTGAGGTGAATATAAAATTTATTTTTGTTTCAAACTTTAAAGTTTCTCAAACTTTAAAATAATTTAATTTTAAATTTAGAAAATAATATTTATTTACTTTTTAAGTTTGGAAATAAAAAACGTATCTAAGTTTATGATAGGAAAAAATTTTAATTATATATATATAAATTTAGTTTCTACAAACATATATAAATATTTATTTTCATATTATTATTTTTATTTTAATCATTGTATACTTCCAATATTAATTATTTGTTATTTTTCACCATAAACTTTAAAATATTCATATTGGTAGATGATAACTTTTTTATATTAAACTTTTCTTTAACTATTATATTAACTTAATGAAAACACCATATCTGCCTAAACCTACGGTATTTTATTTTATTTTAAATCTGACTGAAAAATAGTCTAAATATAACCAAAGATCGTAGAATATATGATATAAAATAAATAATAATTGAAAAAGGTTTGTGGTTAATTATTTTATATAAAAAATTATAAAAGTTTCAGGCCCTCTTGATGTTAGTAGTGGTTTTATTTTGAGAATAACTTTTTTTTTTTTTCTATAATTTAATTCACGTAATTTATTTATTTCCTCAAATATTATTTTGTAAATATGAAGATGTTTATGGACAAACATATTCTACAAATTGCTCCTAACCCATCTTATTTTTAATAGGATAATGATATTTTGACAACATTTTAATATCATCTATGAGTCATTTTATGATTGGTCCAAAATTATTTCAGAATTAATAATAATAATAAAAAATATCAACATGAACCAATTACAGAATAACATGTAAATTATATTAAAATGTTGTTAAAAAAATGTTGTCAAAGTATCATTATTTTTTTTTAATAATACTCTGAAAGAGATAAAGTGGTTGGAACTAAAATAGTGAATGATGAAAACTAACACATGGCACATAAAAGGAAGAGGATAAGATCCAACATAAAATACAACTTATCCATCAACACAAAAATGAACGGGAAACAAGGGTATTCAAATACTGACGTTAGTCCACTCAAATATAGGAATTAATATGTAATAAGTTGTTATTTTATTTTTATAAAATTATTATGTAATTTATTAATATCTCTTGCGTATGATGGTCAACCATAATTCGATTTTTTTAGTGAGTCACAAGTGGATTATCAAACTTAAGGGTGCATCATGAATAAGATTAGTTTTCATCTAAATCAATTTAAGAATAAAATATAATTATTCATAATTTGGAAGGTTAATAAAAAACTTACTTGGAAACTTATAAATAGTAGTTTGAAGTAACGAAGTAGGTTATATGTATTTACTGTTGTATTAATTATTAACGGTTAAACATTAAATTGATTTTAATATCACAGTGTCTTCTGTATATATTTTCTGAATGGTTTGGAGAAACAATTTGATCTAACATTTAGACATTTGAGCAACATTTGGATTTCAAACTGACACAATACAACCCAAAGGATTGTTCTTGAGCTCATATATGAAACATCTTGTATCTTTGACAATAAATTCTCTCATTTATGCCTTTTTATTTTATTTTCTCACCTCTGTTAAGAGTTTACTAAAAAAACGAATACTTAATTAATTTGATAAAATAAAATAAAAGAAATAGAAAAAATATATCAAAGAAAATGGGATGAAGAGAGTGGTAAATTATTGAGTGGGTATTACATAATAGGAGAGTTTAAAAAGTTGGGTATTTGACCGAATATTGTGATAAACATAATTATGATGAGACTCAAAGATTAAACCTTGACATTGTGGAAGATGTGGTTTTGAATAAAATGGGAAAAGAAGAAACATGATAGAAATGTCCTTCTATTTGATTTGAACTTTGGTACAAATGGGTCCTCTCTTCAATTCCACCCACAGACAATGACTACATTTCCTGGCAATTGAGTTCTCACCCAAACCTGACCCAAAATTGTTCTGTCTAAGGAATCTCAATACCCTACAAATTATAGATATTTAGGTTAGATAAGAAAGGATCCATCTTCATAGAATTAATCTCATCAAGGACAAATTAATAATAATATCACTCTTCAAGTTTATATGTCAAGACCTAATGCAGATATCACAACCTTTAACAAATTCTGTTTCTCCATAATAATGCATCATGCACTGTGCTTTTAGAAAAAAAAAACATGGTCGTTAGTAATATAAGACATTAATTATATTTTTATTTTTTTCCATGCAGGGAATCTTTGTAGTGCTCATCTGAAAGTTCTCTTGGTAAAAAAAAACATAAACAAGCAAGGCGAATATTAATGGCAGTAGACAGGACTTTGCAAATCATATTTATATTGAAATATGGAAAAGGTTTGAGCAACTAAATTATTCATATTCTGTAGTACTCATAAAGTTTGTGGACCAAAAAGCAAAACTGCCAAACTTTGTTGTTGGTTTTAGAAATAAACAAGTAAAATTTGATTGCATATATATAATATGAATGAGTTATAGTTGTTGATTGGAATTTGAAAGCGTGTCTGCTTGTAACGATAACAGAGATGAAACATCAATGCTGGCGGCAATTTTATAATCAAAAACTGTTTCAAGGAAAGTCATTCATAGGTTCATGCATTGCACTGATCTTAATTAAAAAATATCACCATACTCTAAAAAAAAACTATGGAATAAAATGTAAATTTAATTAGTATTTTCTCAGAGCATAAATAACATAAAATAGTACATATTAATTTCAAGATACGTATTCAAATACACCATGATTCATGTGTACACTCAAATTATTAAAATATTTTACTCATCATCTTCTCTCACATCTTTCCTTTTTTTGGCAGAAAGGAGGATTGTAATATATCACCAGAATATGTACATGTCTTCACTTTACCCGTCAAGTATTAACATTCTGACGAAGAATGAACTGTTTTCTAATTAGAAAATCTTTCGATTAATGAGAAAATCTGTTAACTTATAATTAATATTATGTTTTATTGTTCCAATAAGAACCCTAGGCATCACAAAGAAGATGCATCACTTTTAGACTGTATCTTAGTTCGTTTGCTTTTCTAACTTCATAAGATACAAATTAAGTTATGTATATATATATATATATTAGTGTCAGGATGTTGCTTCTTTTTAGAAAAGTTTTTGGTAATTGATGTGATTATATATAAGGATGTAAAAGGTTTATTAAATAATATTGAGCAGACATAAGTTTATGTTGTAAGTGTAGGATGGTAAGGAAGGTTTAGCAATATGAAATTATACAATGAATGTGGCTAAGTTATAGATTCCCTCTTCCCGGCAAAGTTTAAGGAAAGGTTGAGTAAAGAAAAATGCATGTACAATATTTTATTGGTAGAGCAGAAAGTGTCTTACTATTGCACTCTGCATAAGGGAACAATGAAATTTTAGGCACAAGTACACAAAAATAATTTGCACACTTTGACAGTGATGTTTAATGGTCTTCACAAATGACCATATACCATAAAACCACAAAATAAATTGCTTCCATGTGCTGCAAAATAACTAGACGACACTGCTCCATGGTAGCCCACACCTGTATATCAGAAAATAGCAAAATGTAAAAATAAAATAAAAAATTAACATTTAATTACTATTTTAATATTTTTAATTTTAAATTTTAAATTTTAAATTTTAAATTACACGTGTGATATGGAGTTAAAGTTCTTTTACCTTTTCATCTTTTCAATCAAAGAACTGATAGTTGGCATTGACGTAAAGACAACATCATGTGCTGACATAGAATATTTTGTGGAATTCTAAGTTACCTCTGCTCTAGATCTATGCTTACCTCAACCACTCTTTTAGTAAATAAAATATTGGTGAATTTTTATATGATAATTGGGAAGTTAAAAAATATTCCCAAAGAAAAAGTTTTTTATTTATTTTGTTTTAAAATTTATTTAAGAATGTGTTGAAATTTCTAAAAAGCACGTTTTCCAACTTGTATCCAAAGATAGCCTCCTCCTTTACTGCAGAAAAAACTCAAACCTAATGTGCTTTGTCCAAAAAAGTATTCAATGGAGGCCCAAATTTATTTATTTATTTATATGACTAAATGTTTAATTCTTCCACTACGGGTTCAAGTTCAAGTTTGATTGAGTTTAAAAAGTTTCAAATTTCGATACGAGTTAAAATCAAACTTGGTCTATTAAAGATCCCACTCACAAACTTGTAATAGAAAAAATACATTGACGCATTTCAGTAATAAC